GTCAGCGGAACGCAGAAGACTACAAGTCCCACGATGCTGTGCGCTGTTACCTCCCCCACGTGGGGGCCGTCCGGCTGCTGAAACAGAAAGTGTGGGACAGCATTTCAGCTTCAGCCCTTGTTGGCTTGTCAGACCTGCAGGCAGGTAGCAGAAAGGAAACAGCCATGGGATCCCGGGCCGTTGTGGAGGAGATCCAGCTCACCAGAGGGCCGTCAGGTACTGACAGAGGGACGTGTTGACTTGGTGCAAAGGACTCGGCACTGGTCAGACATGTCATCTGGGGCTGGGCAGGCCTGTGCAGGGCATTGCTCGAAGAGGCTGGGTATTCCCGGACTATACTTCTCAGGAATTTTATATATAACTCCAAGCACGGTCTTCCAGGTGGAGATATCCGGGCACGTTGTAGTATACTGTAGCCGATCGTCCGATCAGCGATGTACAATGAAAGTAGCTGACAATCCAATGCACGTTGTTTCTGTTGTCATTGCATAGTATACATAGGGTTTACACATCACAGTATTCTTAAGGTATACAGAGGGAATACACAGTGTATATCTAAGGCACGGTATACATAGCCATACATAGGGCACGTTATGCACAGGCTGTGGTCAGTGAATATTTCATGCATTTGTGGACATTTTTTTGTTTCCTGTGTGATTTGTTCAAGTGTACCATGATTTTACCCCTTTATGACCACAAAATGCCTTATTTCAACATGAAAAATGCCACTTGGTGTGAGTTTCTTAACACCTTCCTGCCAATACTACACATAAAGCAAAATTGTGGGTTGGCCTTAATGCTGATCTGCCACATATATGCATCAGCACTGTGCTATGCAGAAAATTCACCCACTGGCAAGCTCCCAACACAGGGACAGAGCTGTCATTGACAGATCCTGGTCACTGTTCTGATCTGGAGCCAGTGGGATAGGCTCCTGATCATGTGAGCGTCGCAGTGATCACATGATTGCGACACCTACTTACTCATTTTAACATTGGACCTGAGAACTAGTAAAACACATTTGCACACTCCTAATTATCTGCTGCAAGGTTAATTGACCCCTTGTTGCCAAGTCTTGGCAGCCCTTTAATGGGTTCTTAATGCCGGTTTAGCAGCAAAGGGGTTAAGGTAGTATTAAGCTCCCAAGTTTTTATCAATAATGAATCCAGATCAAACAAATAAGAGTTGTGCGCAAAAGTTTGCATACCCTGTAGGGCTGAAACAACGAATCGATAGTCAATCAATAATTGATAATGAAAAAACAGTTGACAATTTTCATTATCGATGAGTTAGTTGCTTGATTTGTTGGGCTCCTCCCTCCCTCCTCCGCCCTGCCTCACTCGAATGCTTGTGAACATTTTCTGACTGTTTAGGCACAGCCTGAGAACCCGCGGTCTCCTCCTCCTCTGGATGATCCCCCTCCTAACACGCGCGTACGTACACACACACACGCGCGTACGTAAACACACACACGCGTACACACGTACGTAAACACACACACGCGTACACACACACACGCGTACACACATGCGTACACACGCTTACGTAAACACACACACGCGTACACACGCGTACGTAAACACACACACGCGTACACACGCGTACGTAAACACACACACACGTACGTAAACACATACGTACACACACACACACGTACGTACGCACGTACGTACGTACACACACGTACGTACGTACGTACACACACACACACACACACACACACGTACGTACGTACACACACACACACACACACACACGCACACACACACACACGTACAAAAGCACACACACACGTACGTACACACACACACTCACGTACGTACACACACACACTCACATACTCACGTGCGCACACGCGCTGTAGCTCGCGGTATTCTGAGCTTAGGGTAACGGGAGGATGCTAGTTTGTGTCCTCCCGTTACCCTAAGGAGAACTATGGGGAAAAACACTGACCCCATAGTTCTCCTTTTAAAACGGAATTTAAGCAACAGTCTATGGTTATGCGCATATATGATAAGCAACAGTAAATGATGATAAGGATACTTGCTGTTGTGGAGGGAGTGACCTTAGGGAATGATGAGCAGGTGTCTGTGAGTAATATGCAGGTGTTTGTTTTAAGCAACAGTCTATGAGAGAGGTATACTTGCTGTTGTGGAGATGACCGTTGGAATGGGAATGGTGCCCTCCGGTGGAGATTCAGGTGATCCGGCTCTCTGACTGGGGCTGTAGTGAGACACTTGAGGGAACAGGCTGTCCCGAGATTGGTGGAGGTCCTGTCCCTGTAGTAGGTGTGGAATGCAGAGGAGAAGGGGCTCTGACCGGCCCAATAGTAGTGGGGAGTTCGTGGCAGACCGACGGAGGAACTTGCCTGGCGTCTACACACTTGCACGAACGCCAGGCAAGTGCAACTGCCGGGCTTAAACAGGGAGAGGAGGAGGAGTCTTGTGACGCCACGGCTGACGTCCCGAATCTCCGACTGCGCTCCGGGCCGGAACCGAGGGTCAGGTAAGCCTGTTACATAGTCCACGTAAAATGATGACAGAGCGGCTCAGCGCATCCTGAAGTGCACAATGCTTAGAAATCACCAACTGTCTGCAGGGTCAATAGGTACAGATCTCCAAAATTTGTGTGGCCTTCAGATTGGCACAACAACACTGCAAAGAGAGCTTCATGGAATGGGTTTTCATGGCCGAGCAGCTGCATCCAAGCCTTACATCACCAAGTGCAATGCAAAGCGTCAGATGCAGTTGTGTAAAGCACGCCGCCACTGGACTCTAAAGAAGTGGAGACGTGTGCTCTGCAGTGACGAATCACGCTTCTATGTCTGGCAATCCGATGGACGTGTCTGGGTTTGGCGGTTGCCAGGAGAACGGTACTTGCCTGACTGCATTGTACCAAGTGTAAAGTTTGGTGAAGAGGGGATTATGATGTGGGGTTGTTTTTCAGGGGTTGGGCTTGGCCCCTTAGTTCTAGTGAAGGGAACTCTTAAGGCATCAGCATATCAAGACATTTTGGACAATTTCATGCTCCCAGCTTTGTGGGAACAGTAGGGGGATGGCCCCTTCCTGTTCCAACATGACTGTGCACTAGTGCACAAAGCAAGGTCCATAAAGACATGGATGAGCAAATTTGGGGGGAGGAACTTCACTGGCCTGCACAGAGTCCTGACTCAACCCGTTGGAACACCTTTGGGATGAATTGGAGCGGAGACTGCGTGCCAGGCCTTCTCGTCCAACATCAGTACTTGACCTCACAAATGTGCTTCTGGAAAAATGGTCAAACATTCCCATAGACACACTCCTAAACCTTGTGGACAGCCTACCCAGAAGAGTTGAAGCTCTTATAGCTGCAACTTGTGGGCCAACTCAATATTGAACCCTTCGGACTAAGACTGGATTGCCGTTAAAGGTCAAGTGCGTGTGAAATCAGGCGTCCCAATACTTTTGGCAATATTGTGTGTGTGCTAAAACCAAGATGGCTGCCAGAGCATGTGACCTATGACCTTTATGTTGACAAAGATTAAACACAGCACAGTTGTCTACCATTGTGCCAAATTTCATGAGTTTTTAAGTAACGGTGTGGTTATATTTAGCATTTGAAAAAACAACTCATGAGTTGCCTATACAATGGCTCCCTAATATCGCCTCTCCCCCTTTTAAATATCCATACAAAGCAACAACAATACAATGGGGGTTTTAAAGAGAGGTGTGAGACCAATGCATATGTAAAAAGTACCAATGATTTTTATTAATCATACAATAAATTAATTGGATAAAAGGAGACAATTAAGGATTAAAATGAATACCCCACCAATGAGCTTATACAAACAGAAGCCCAGGATATGCCTAACGTCAACCAGATTATACTTAAATAAGCATCCATTGTTCCAAACATGATGACTGTAAACACACTGCTGGAAGACTGACGTTTCTGGTCCCAAAGCGCTTCGCACAGAGCTTCTTCAGGGGACCATAAGAGGCTAATCTATTAATGATAATTATACATAAATGACTTATCTTGTACATATTCCATCAACATAAACATCAATAATTTGTTTTACTTTAATACTTTTTTTATTTTAATAGTACAATACATAAAACACACTTTTACATCCATAATTACACATAGACAATACTACAACAACAAAATAGCAAATTAATTTTCCTCTCATTGTACCATATTACTTAAAACACATTACTCCTCCAAAGTACCAATAGCAAATAAGGGAGATATTATAACCAAACTCCTTTACTATATTCAATCCACTTATCCCACATTTTACCATATTTTCTTATACTACCTCCTATGTTTGAACATAATTCCCTCAAAACCAAACACTTTATCTACTTCTTTCTTCCACTCATCGTCTGGGAGGCGTTGCTGAAATCCACCTAAAGGCTATAATCAGAGGCGGCTCTCTAATTAGGCGAGATAGGCAATCGCCTAAGGCCTCGCGTACACAGGGCCCTCGCGGCCGCCTAACAACTTCTCCTGGGGGTTCAGAGCGCTCCCCCGCCAGTTCTCCACACCTAACATCTTCATGCTGGGACTGCGCTTCATCCCCACGCCAGCCTGGTTTTATTGTGTGCGTCTGCAGAGCAGTCCCAGCAGCAGCACAGAGGGCAGGAGCGAGCGAGCCGGGCTCAGCCAGACATGCGGCATGAGGTAGGGAAGCATCGGACTAACGGCACAGCAGCTTCAGGATTATCTTTACCGCAGGGCAGAGGTGTTGAAAGCAGCTTCCCCTTGAGCAGGAGAGCTCTGCAGCAAAGGGTTAAAGAGGTGACAGTGTAGCCGGTGAACGGTACACTGCATTGGAAGAATGTCCTCAGCTCTGCTCCTCCCCCCTTCTCAGCTGTCACATGAGTTCCAGCACAGTGCTGTGCGAGAACTCCTGTATTGGAGGTGACCGTTTCAATAAAGAGAACCTGTCTCCTCCAAATGCTATCACACAGGGACTTGTTGGCTCCGGTGTAATAGTAATAAAGTTAAGTGAAAAAAAGTTTAAAGAATAAAAAGAAATACAAATTATTATTATTAATAATAATGAATGAATCCGCACAGCCCAACCTGAGACCCCCATTGGCCACCTGAGACCCCCCCACAGCCCACTTGAGACACTGCACAGCCCACCTGAGTGGGTTTGTTAACTTTTTATTTGTAGTCACTTTTTGCTTTGCTGTTCAGGACAGAAACCTATACCTAAACATACAGGT